AAAAAAAAAAAAAAAAAAGAAAAAAAAAGAAATAGGGATGGGGAAAGCAGAAAGCTGCAAGCTAAGCTCTGCACAAACAAAATGGTCAGTCTCCAGCCCAATACAGCCAGGAAATATGTGGTGATAACGGAGGCATTCTCAGGTGTCCTAACTTGCAAGGCACAGCGTTTGCTCCTGGCCTTCAGGAGGTCCGACCAGACACAGCACAGTGCACAGGTCAGCCTGCTATAATAGCAATCGCCCTGCCCAAGTGTCAACAGCATCAACGAAGAGAAACTCTGACACTGACAGCAGAGCCCCAATGCACAGGCTATGATGCCAAGCAAAACATCTAAGGTGTGTGCCCTGGCTGTGTCTTTGGGCCAATTACCTAACCTTTTAAAGATTACCACATCAATATAGGTGGCAACACATAGGTAAAAACAGAAGCTACTCAGAAGACTTTTGTGAGGATCACATACAATTATTTGCCAACAGTTTTGGACTATGGTAAGCATGCAACAAAGAATAGTGGAATGAATGAATTATTATTATATAGGGGCTTATGATCTCTAACATCAAGGAAAAGCACTCTTTTTTTTTGGGTGGGGCGTACTGGGAATCGAACTCAGGACCTTCTGCTTGCGAGGCAGGTGGTGGCACCACTGAGCTAAATCCCCAGCAGAAAAGCATTCTTTTTTTGGGTACCGGGGATTGAACTCAGGTCTTTGTGCTTGTGAGGCAGGCGGCAGAACCACTGAGCTAAATCTCTGGCCCAGAAAAGCATTCTTAATATAAAAATTTTGCTTTGTAATTGCAGGGTAGGGGAAACTAGACAGGACTACTGAGGTGTCAGTTGTAAAGTCTCCTGATTTCTGATGAAGGATTATCTGTACAGCAAATGTGGCTAAAGAATGTAGGCTTGGAACCAGACTGCCTGGATTCAAATCTTGTATCTCTGGGTGGGTGGGTGTGTGTGTGTGTGTGTGTGTGTGTGTCTGTGTGTGTTTTTGAGACAGGGTCTCACTATGAAACCCAGACAGGCCTAGAACTTGTGGTGATCCTCCTGCTTCAGCCTCCCAAGTGCTGGGATTATAGGAGTATGCTACCTATGAAATTCTGAGCAAAACACCTAACTTCCCTAGGTCTCAGTTCACACTATAAAACTGGGAATAAAATCAGTCATCTACCTTGGGAGATTAAATCAGATAGTACAAAAAGCATTTATGACAGAGCCTGCTACCTAGTAAACACTCAACATGCCTTTCTATTATAAGTATGAGGGGAAACTCCAAACAGTGAGGTAAGCCTGCCACCTAAGCAAGTAAGAATCACAGGAACTACTGTGGATGGCCAGCTAGTCCCAGAGGTAGACGTCATCTCTGCAAGGGTAAAGCCCAGAGGACAACAGACAGCAGCTGTGAGAGCATGTGAATCAGACACAGCTGTGGACCACAGGGCACCATAAAAACAGGTGACCCCTGATACGCCACACATGCCCCTGAGAAGGAAGACTGGTCCACAGCAGGATGGAGCTCCACGGTGATGAGGGCGCAGAGTGCCCTGCACAGACCCAAGCTACTGCAGAATTCAAGACCCAGGATGGGATGGTAAGCACAGCCTTCTCACAGGATGGCCTGAAAGCTCAGTACTTCACCAAACACCTCTGGGCCGAGCTCTGAGAGGGAAGCCAGAGGCCGGAGCAGCAGCGGTGACTCACTCCATACAGCTTACTTCCCAGGGTAGAGTCTTTTTCTTTTAAGAGACAGGGTTTTCCCGCTGTATTACACAGTGTGGACTCTAACTCTGGGCTCAAGATATCTGTCTACCTCACCCTGTCCTGAAGCTGAGACTACAGGCACACACCTCTGGGCCCGGCAGGGCAGGGCAAGCTTTCAACCTCAGTGCGGCAGGCAGATCTAACAAGAGCCATATTTTTTTTCTTTTAGTGCTGAGGATTGAAACTAGGGCTTTCATTAAGCTACCACCTCAGCCCAAGGGCTTTCTTTTTTTCATACCAGGGACCAAGACCAAACTCAGGACCTTGTGCTTACAAGGTAGGTGGCAGCACCACTAAGCTAAATCCCCAGGCCAAGGATGTGATTTTTTGTTTGTTTGTTTGTTTGTTTTTTGAGACAGGGTCTCACTATGTAGCTGAGACTGACCTGGAACTCACTACATAGCCCAGGCTGGTCTCGAAATCAGTGATCCTCCTGCTTCAGCCTCCCGAATGCTGGGATTACAGGCGTGCACCACCATGCCTGGCTAAGGGTGTGATTTTTATGGAGAGATTCTCACACTCTCCTTTGATCCTCAAACCAAAAAGTATGAATAAGGGCTGGGGATATAGCTCAGTAGTAGGGCATTTCCCTAATGTGCATGCTTAGGCCCTGGATCTGATCCCCTGTACATTTAAAAAAAAAAACAGTAACAAAAAACCTGAAAATAAAAACCAATAAAAAATACTTTATTAATAGCCACTATTTTGGAAAACTCTAATCACAAATAGTTTAATCTGAGAGGGCTAAGTAATTTTACTCTCTGTCAGACCATGAACTCCTCCAATACACTATTGGGCCGGGGATTTATCTCAGTGATGGCGCCGCCTGCCTCACAAGCACAAGGTCCTGAGTTCAATTCCCGGTACCAAACAAACAAAACACTATAATTTCCTTTAGAACAAAAACTAGTTCTGTAAATTTGGGCATCGTGCCACATGCCTGTAATCCCAGCATTGAGGAGGCTGAGGCAGGAAGATCACAAATTCCAGGCTACCCTGGGCTAAATAGTGAGTTCAAGGCCAATTTGAACTACATAGGGAGACTGTCTCAAAAACAAAAACAAAAAACAAGGAGGGGCTGGGGATTTAGCTCAGTGGCACCACTGAGTGAAAGGTACTGAGTTTGATCCCCAGGACCAAAGGAAAAAAAAAGTATACAAAAAACAAACAAATTAGGTGGTTTTTTTTTGTACTGGAGCTCGAACTTGGGTCCTCGTATTTGCAAGGCAGGTGCTGGAACCACTGAGCTAAATGCCTGGTAACAAATTAGTTTTGTAGCCAGGAGTAGTAACACACGCCTATAAACCCAGAACTGGAGAAACTGAAGCAGCAGAATCACCTCGAATTTAAGGCTAGCCTGGAATATACAGGGAGAGTCTGCCTCAAAAAACAAAATACAGAGCTGGGTGTGGTGGCGCATGCCTGTAATCCCAGCACTCAGGAGGCTGAGGCAGGAGGATCTCATTCGAGACCAGCCTGGGCTACATAGTGAGTTCCATCCAGGTCAGTCTCAACTACATTGTAAGACCCTGTCTCAAAAAAAAAAAACTTTCATAATACCAAGCCACCACAGTGTTAAGAAAAAAAATGTTTTTAAAACAATTAACTGGGCTAATAAAGTAACTGATGCTATGTTCCTTCCTGCACTTTTCTTCTTTTTTTCCTGCTTCTTTTTCTTCTGACAGTCTTAAATTATTTCAGAACTTCATATCTGTAAACAGGTTAGTGTGTGACTTTCCCAAATTTACTGAAGTTCTATGACAGGTCTGTAGTCTTAACAATATATTTATCTTAAGCAGAGAAATCAGACCTTCTTCCCAGGTCCTTCCACCAATTACCACTGCTTTAATAAATAAAGCACACTGAGAATGGTGGTACTCTTCTGTAATTTCAGCACTTGGGAGGCTGAGGCAGGAGAATCACCACAAGTTCAAGGCCAGCCGGGGCTATAAAGTGAGTTCAGGGCCAGCCTGAACCACATAGTGAGACCCTGTCTCAAAAAAACAAATGAAAAAATTAATAATAAAACTAGAGACTGACCGCCTCCAATGTCCTCCCCACTCAAAGTCAACACTACAAAAAGGGAGATATGCATGTGCATATATGAAGCCACACTAGCTCCAGTCAGTCCAGTGATGACAGTGTGAGAAAGATCTCGATTTGAGAAAAATCAGAAGGCTGGGCAGAGCCACCCCCAAAGCTGGAAGCCAGTAAGGAATACTGCAGACACTGCCCACGCTGTCTGACAGGCGGCGCTGACACTCGGCAGCATGACGAGGCACCCGTGCACCGTGGCCGCCTGGGGACTGGCTTGGGGCAGCCCACAGAGGGAGCGCAGGGGTTACTGGATCGGACCGCTTGTCTATTTCTGGAGCAGCCTATATTCCCCTCTGCCTTCTGGTTTACAAGGCCAGAGCTGACAGGATGCCTATTTAGGGAGGAAAAGATAACATGCTCTTGACCCTTTCACTGCCAAGACAGGGCCCGAGGCTCTCAGGGCACATTTCTCAGGCAAGCACCTCTTTCCAACAAAGCCCGAGCTAAACGAAAACCTCACACCCTACTTCCTGCTGAAGGCAGAACACTCAGCTTGGTCTCTACGCTTCACCCTGTCGCGGCCCAGTTCTGAGGCCTGTGTTCCAGCTGACCTGCACAAAACTCCTCCACCCAGGCTGCGGGGAAGAGCTGTGCTGGTCTGTGCCCAACAGAGGGCCGAAGGGCTGAAGATGTGAGTGGAGGAGTGTGGGTGGCACAGTGGAAATCAGAAACCAGGAATGGAAGCTGCCTGGCAGGAGACTGGGGGCAAAGCAGGACTCGCGAACCCCAAGCTTTCCTGAAATGGGATCCCACGGCCTAAGAACGCTCCAGACCCGAAGCCCCTCACGGGCCCTCCAAGCCAACACAACCAGCCTTCTAGTCTTTCTTCTCATTACGATTCTCCAAATTTAGAGCCGTCAGGAACCTCAGGGTGCATCCAATTCAGCTCTCCTTTTAAGAGGAAACTGAGGTTCAAGGTCACACAGCCAGAGAGCGGCGAAGCGAGGCCCCGAACCGGCTCGGTGGACCTGCGTCTCGGGTTCTTCCCGGTAAACCCCACAGGGCTCTCTCTAGGTAGCGCCGTCCCTCGCGGGTCCTCCGCCCTGACCTCTGCCCCAGCCCAG